GTCAAAACACGGACTTATCCCTGAGCCTAAGTCCCAAAACTGCCATTTTCAGGCGGCGCACTACTTGTGGCCGCCTGACACCGCGCCTGGTGCGCCSCGAAATCACTCCTCACTCTCTCGTYAACTCGTCGCACTATGCTCCACGAACGGTGAAATGACTGTTGTGTGTCGAGGCGAGGTGACGACGACGTCGGCATGTGGCCTCTCCCGACAGCTCTACCCGTAACTGGTGTCGGAGTGCTGTGGGGCACGGTCGGTGGAGGAGGTGTGAGTGAAGTGGTGCGAGCCCTGTCTGCACCCCGAGCCGTTGCCATGGCGGACTCTGAACGATGCTTCTCGCGCTCCAAGCTCGTCGGAGAGCCAGAATACCGAGGGGTCACAGGTGTGTACAACGGAGGCGATCGAACCCCGACCCTAAAAGATCCCGCAGCTCCCCTCGTAATCGGATCCTCCACTCCTGCATGGTGCAACGCATCAGGGGCGAGTGGCCCAAGTGTAATCTCCCCCTCCTCCATATTTGCTCTGGCATGGTCCTGAAGGTCAGGTGGTATACCGCCCTCCTCCTCCTCATCGGCACCGCCTCCTCCTCGACATGCTCTGACGGAATGTCGTGTGCCACCGATAAAGGATGCCACAACACTAACGCCAAAGACGTACTGCCTCCGACCTCCTCCGGGTCATCAGTCTGCAGGTCCATGTCGTCACAACCAATGGGGCCGTGTGACAATCGACCTGGACCGGCACTAGGCGACGGTGAAAGTCGCCCCGTAGTATTCGCCCCATCATGGGGCTCCGCACCGGGTCCACGCCCTCTGTCCCTATGCTCGTCAGAATCACCCTCCATATGAACTGCCTCCTCAGTCCGTACATCATCGGGTTGCAACGTGTCTGCCGCACGAAATCCAAGTACGACGTCGGACACGGAAGGATCTTCATGCACTGGCATGGTCGGATCACCGTGCCCCTCAGTCTGTGCAAGGTCAGGTGCAAATGGATCGCGATGCTCCACCCCGCCCGGATCAGGTACTGCAGCACCGGTCTCCAAATCCCGAGCACGCTGCTGCTCCGCCATGTACACGGCTCTACCCGCCCACTCTCTCTGCAACACCTCCAACCGCTGCTCCTCCTCTCGATCYAAGCAKGCATGGAGCTCCTCCGTTGACTCCGGTACSAGCCTCCGTAGGACGATACTCGACGTCATCCCCCACTCTCTCTCCCCTGTGGCCCCGTCCTGAAAACCAGTGTTAGAAAGTCCGTGTCCGAGTCTAGGAAAGTCACTCGTGCATAGGTCCGTCTGCTCCCTGTCCCCTGGAGGTGCCGAGGCGGGTGTGTGCTGGCTCGGCATATGCTCATCGGCTGTAATGTCATCCAGGTAGCCGGACACCTCGCGTCTGACRCCCGTGGACGAGTCGGCCTGCGTCTGCAACCGCAGTGATCTCCTAAGACCCTCGGTGGTGGACGGAGCTCTGTCGCTCGCCATGCRTGCTCTGTGAAAGACCAATGGCACGTCGTCGTCGTCGTCCGTGCAGGCCGGCCTCGCGTGCTCCCTCTCTCTCTCAGCAGTGGGCTGAGCAGGTAGTGAAGTWCGTMCTCCCTCGTYGTGTGTGACCCCTCCACTAGGCTCACCTTTAACACCTCCACTCGCGCCTCGTGCAGCACGTCCCATCGCCCCGCTAGTACCACCCCCACTAAGGGAAAAAGAATCGTCGTCGCTCTCCTTAATGACGGTGCAGTGTGGCTGAAAATCGTCCGGTCCTGCATCGTACGTGTARTARAGTCTCYCGACACTCTTATCTACACCGGGCGGCAAATCCTCCGAGTCRGACTCCTGCTTCGACGTCTCCGCCGGCTCTGCTGGCGGTGGGGGCACATAGTCGTAAGRATGAAGTGTCTCGGCTCTGGGACTGAAAACSTCAGCAACTCGCTCCGGACGACGAGAACCCTGCTGCTGGAATCGACGGACCTGTGCACTAACCTCGGTTGCGGCCACTGCCGACCGAGGTCGGGATCCCCACTCCTCTGGCTCAGGCTCCTCCTCATCATCCCTGTGGGCGGTGGGCGGGGTGTGTGTGTACTCGTCGGGGAACGCCTCAGCCAKGGTCTCCATGTGGCCCCACGGAAGAACGTACCCCCCGCTGCGGTCGCTGCAGCCAAGTAGTTTGAGATTGGTAGCAATCTCAACTAACTATGCAACCTTCCTTAACTTGAGCTTGTTGCGCTTGGCCGTCTGGATGCGCTCATGCTCTGCCCAATTCCTCTCAGCAAGAGAGGCGGACGTCCACATGTGCATCACACGGCCAGCGATCTCCTGCAAGTCCGGGAAGCATGCATCGTGCTCCACCCACCATGACGCGCACCTGCTCGTCTCCTCGTCCCCTACATAGGCCTCCGCCTCGGCGCCCCTCGTCACCCTGTCCGTCGTGTGGCCAACCCTGGAGTGGAAGGATCGCATCTGCTGACGCMCCCGCAAGTATGCATCCCCCGCCGCATCACCGCTTGTCTRCGCCAAGAAAAACGAGTCGCACTCGGTAACGACCTCGAGGTCCGCAGTTGTCCTGCGGGYGGACTCGTAGTWACGGAGGGAGCRCCTGCGGGGGTTGAACAAGTGTGCCGCAGCGTGCACCGGCTCAAGCATATGCATGGTGCGGATCTKCACCGCCTCCACGCACGGCCTCCGCATGCCATCAGGGACGTCAACAGTAGCCACCTGTCGCGCCAACTCCTGCGACCATGAGTACATCATGGACATGATCATGTCGCCCCTGTCCAATCTCCTCAACAGCTGRTGGACAGGGGTCATGACAGAGACAACATACTGAACGTTGCGCYAGAAAATCGGCGCACCGGATGACYTGCCGAACCCAGAGAGCCTGTCTGCGCTTCGACGACTCCCATKGGATCTTGTCCCACTCGTCCTCATGAAGCATGCTCTCCAAGGCGTTACGCSTRGAGAGCAAACACACAAACATMAAAAAAACGGACGCGAATCGCGTCTCCACAGGGTGCACAAGCGTGCGACGACGACTCTTCACCCTGAAAAGGTGATAAGCCGCGCCGTGCGATTTAATGARTCGCACCARYGCTCGAGCTCTGACAATGGTCTCCGTAACCCAAGGAACCCCTGTGCCGATGTCAGACAACATCAAGTTGGCCACATGGGTGGCACAGGGGAGCCAAGTGATACGGCGGATCTCCGGATCGGGGTCCTTTGCAAGGAGCTTTGCGGCGGACGTATAGTTCGACGCAAAGTCCGTGCAAATGGCCAACACATCCTTCGGAGGGAAAAACTGAAAAATGGCCTTCCATCTCCTCAGGACGATCCGTGTCGTCTCGGCCACTGAACCGTCTCGCTGGACAGTGGCGTACAACAGGGCGCCRCGCTTGGCGGCCGCAAGGAAGTTGACGATAGGCCTCGCGTCTTGCAATTGCCTACCGTCCGACAAAATGGTGGCCCCCACCGACTCGAACGAAGCACGGACCTCCAACCTTTCCCCACTGATCATCGATACCACCGCCCCCAATGTCCTTGAAGGACGGATAGACAGGCCGCACTCCGCGAGACATGGCGGCCAACGCCTTCTTGTGCCTATACCATGACTGCCTCCTGAAAGCATTAAATGGTATACCACTATCGTAGCACCATGCAAAAAGGTGTCCCTGAATGCGGCCTGCCCGTCTGGATCGTACACCTCATCCAGAGTGGACTGCCGYTGTCTCTTGTGCGCCTGCGGCATGCCCTCAACTCCACTGCCTATCGGCCTCTTCCCCGCTGGGCCCGGTGCGTCCCCCTCATGACGGTGAGCGGCGCTTCTCCCTCGCGCAGTTTGACCACCTCCTCCCCCAGCAAATCCTCTGCTGCGGATGTCCCTCCACCTTCCCCAGCCTCTGCTCGCCTGGCCTGCTCGTCCAGGAACCTCTCCACCTCATCCACAAGATCGAGCTCCTCTGCTTGCGACTACGACCCTCCCGTCCTCCCCCTGCCACTGCCTCGCTGGACGTCCACAACTCGTCTATCCACGATATCGTGCTCCCTCATGTAAGCCACGATACCGCGGTGATGTGGGTTCTCGAACTCGTAATTCGTGTGGTTCCAAATGTCAACGAACACGTCCATCGTCGCCGCCGAGCACCTCTTCATCTGCGTGAAGTGGCGCTGTGCCTTGAACAAATTCCCCTGCCAGACATGCTTGCAATAATTGCATCGCAGCTTATAGTCCCCATGCCTCTTCTCCCATGTTCCTTACCTCGGACCCTGCGTCACATGACGCCACACTCTCGACTTCCTGCGCAGCTCGTCCATGACGACATCGCTCGCAGGAACGAAGTCATTGCCCCCCGAACCGCCGGCACCACCTGTCATTTCGGAGGTCGACATCCGCAACCCCTCCAAACACCCCCCCCCCCCGAAACTAGACCCCCGACCATGCGGCCGTGCGAAAACGCGGGCTCGTCAGCCCCCCGATGTCGTCTGGGGGAGCTGCCGTGGACGTCGCCGGTCGC